CTTTTATCCTTAAAATATAGTCGTTTTATAGTAATTAGAATGGTCTTTTTTGTCATTTTCTTTTCCCCTTTTTTTCTATAAATTGGGCCTAAACTCTCATATTTTCTCACATCCCAAATTCTCTCATCCTCTCATTTTCTCTAATCTCTATTGAAATCTCTCAATTATTCTCTTTGTTATCAATTTGCTCTCATTTTAATTTTTAATAGTTTTTGGAATTTTCAATTCATATTTCCAAATTCCGATTCTCTTTCTTTAATTTTTTATTTCTTCTATATCAATTTTTTTTTTTAACTACAATGGATAGATATTTCCATCCCATTGATTTCGATGATGAAGGAAACTACTATCCTAGTCCCCCTGAATTTACTAATATAAATGCAGCAGATTCAAATAGTTCCGCTTTCCCAGTCTCAGAATCCGATACACCTCATAATATTCCTCCGATTCCTCCCCATGCTGCTATAGCTCCCGGTGGTTCTAGAAGTTATCCTCGTAATCGTTGTCCTCGTCCAACTTCATCTCAAGTAGAAGCAGGTTTATCAACTGATGTCGAAATCGACGACTAGCACACATAAGATGTTTGGGTGCATTTCGATAAGTTTTACGAGATAGAAAATGAAGTTCAAGTGAAGAAAGCAAGATGCAAGTATTATGAAAATATTTATAAAGCTGATTCAGATAATGATACTAGTACTTTAAAAATGCATGCTAATAAATATATTACTTAACATGGAAAGAAATAAAGAAATCAAACTCAAATAACTAATATGGGTACTACTTGGCATTATAATTCTGATGTATATAGGAAACAATTAGCTTTATATATTGCTGCAACTGATCAACCTATTAATATGGCTGAAGATAAATATTTTGAAAGATTTATTAAAAATTCATTTTTTTTTCAGGATTTAAAAGTTATTCTAAAACTGCAACTAGAAATGATTTAATAAAATTGTTTGAGAAAATGAAATTAGAATTAAAAAATAAAATACATACTTGTCATGTTAGTGTGACTCTAACCGCCGATATGTGGAGTGATAGAGCTAAACAATATTATATTTGTGTGACTAGTCATTATTTTGATAATGAATGTAAATTAAATAAATCTTTATTGGGATTTAGATTAATGGATATGGATCATAGTAGTCAACAAATTTATAATAAAATTGTTGAAGTTTTAGAAGATTATAATGTTATTAATAAAGTGATAAGTTTAACTTTTATACAGCTATAGATTTTTTTTTTAAATTAATTATCTTTTTTATGATAATTTGAAGTTTTTTCACAAACACTGTGCATGTCACATTATTAATTTAATTGTGAAAAGTGGTATGAAAACAATTAGAGATAATATTGATAGAATTAGGGATTCTATAGCTTGGATTACTAGTAGTAATAAAAGAAATGCTGAATTTCAAGGTGTTTGTATAAAATTAAATATGTCTCCTACAACTTTTGCATTAGATATGCCTGTTAGATGGAATAGTACTTATTTAATGCTTGATTCATGTTTACCTTATGTAAATTTAACTAGTTATTTTGTAACAAATAATAGAGGTCCTCATTATTTGGTAGAAAATGATTGGCATATAGCTAAAAAATTTTATTTTTTTCTTAAAATTTTTTACCAATCCACTTTACAACTTTCTGGTATATATTATCCTACTTGTCCATTGGTAATACATATAATTATAAAAATTTCAGATTTATTTAGAAAAAACAGAAACAATGAAATTTTAGCGGAACCAATAAAGGCAACGAAATTTTTTTTTTTTTAAAATATTGGAAACTCATTCTTTTTCTCTATTGTTTATGTGCTATATTTGATCCTAGAATTAAAGTAGCAGGTTTAGAAAATGGTTTAGACACATTAACTGAAAATTTACAAAACGAAGCATATGCCAATTAACTAGGAGAAAGTGTCTTGCAGATGTATATTTGTAATATGAAAATAGGTATGAGAATCAGCAAAGAGGCGAAATACTCGGGGAAGTTGCATCAGAAGAAACAAATGAAGACTTAGACTCCTAGAGTGCACTTAAGAGGCTGAAGAGGACCCGAACCCGAAGCACAGCCTCCTCTTCAGAAGCATCAACAACAAATGTACTGTCCTCCATACAGTTACAGAGTAATGAGCTTCACCAATATTTGGAAACCCCCGAAGTGTTACTAGCAGATCCACAACAAAGAGCCAACTTTGATGTCTTAGAATATTGGAAAACCAGAAAACGTATTTTTTCAATATTATCAAGACTTGCCTTGGATATTTTCGCTGTTCCTGTCTCAACTGTCTCATCCAAACAAACATTTAGTGCAAGTGAAAGAATTTTAAATGAAATGAGGACTAAACTTTCACAAAAAAATGATTGAAGTCCTCACATGTTTTTGAGATTGGGAACAGTCGTGCCATCAGGATCAATACGAGGTTGTCGACGATACTTTAATATAATCATTTCAATTTTGTAATATAGATTATACGGACGAGGGAGGTCCTAGTTAACCCCCAAATTAGTTGTTTTGCAAATTATAACTTGTAAATTAATTGTCAATTATTGCATTCTTTTTTCCTTACCAAGTTTTTGTCCTATTCGGTTTTTTTTGGTAAGGTTTTTAACGAGACAATAATTGTTGTAATTTCTTATTTTATTTTTTGATAAATGACTAATTTTTCTTATATTACAATTTTATCGTATTAAAATTGAATTAATATTTGAAATGTTAACAAAAAAAAAAAATTTAATTTAATCGAATAATTGCTAAAAACAATTACACAAAAGAAAAAATTAAAAAACAAAAAAAAATTGTGGGCTAACCCGGCCCGCATCATAACCCGCCGGGTTAGGGTTGGCTGGCCGGGCCAGCCTTTATGGCCAAAAGGTGGGCCTAACCCGACTCGCCCTTGTTGGCGGGCCAGGTTAGGCCCGGCCCGCCAATCCCTTGTCACAGGTCGGGCCGGGCCGGGTGAGTTATTTTTCCACCTTTAGGTATAAAGTCCTTGAAAAAGTCCATCAGTAGGTAAAGCATAATTTCTTCAATTTTGTTTTAGAGTGAGGAAATTAAATGTATATATCATTGTCATCAAATTTCAAAAGTCAAGTGAAATGTGAATGAATTATAATGGCCATTCATTTAAGTCCCCACATATCTTATAAAATTCAACAATATCTACAATACTATACCTAATATATCTAGATAGTTGAAATATATTGTTGCCAATTACCTTGTCAAGTAAAGCTTTTTCCCCTTCAAACAAACGAAAAGGGAGGCAAATAGAATATTATTTTGGTGTTTAAAAGCTTGAAAAACTTAGCATACGAGGCTTTGAATGTGAAGAGGCATATATGAAAGAACGGATCGTTGTGTAATATATATCTGCACTGCTGCACATATAGGACAACATTTTTCAATATAATTGGTTGATGAATTCTGTGAGAAAGAAATTATTTAATTAAATTCATACAGTACAAACGAAAAAAAAAAAAAACTATTTAATTAAATCCATAGTGAACCCTGAATTATATTTCCTCTCAAAGTTCTATCTCCAGATAAAAATTAGAAGAAAAAATCATTTTCTAAAATTTAATATGCAAAATTCACTAATAATATTAAACATATAACATGTAAGTTTAATATATACTATTTACACATAAATGTTAAATAAATAAGAATGAATGAGTAATACCACATAAATTTATGCAAATTTTAATTTTACATAAAGCTTATATATATATATATTTATTTATTTTTTTTTTCCAAGCTAAATTGGCATTATCATCGCCTAAGTAAGATTTGAAAAATGAATAAGCCTTTGACAAACTGGGTCAAACAAGGTAAACTTAAAAATAAATGAGGTTGGTCAAGTCGAACCTAACAACAAATTCGTTAGCAAAAGGGAAAACGACATGTTATCACCCAAGGTTTGATGAAATGACACTTGTTCATCTGTCAAGTTTCAAAATGACATAGTATTACTCATCATTTTTTAGGTGAGACTAATTACTTTTTCTCTTTTGACTTTTTAGCTAATTCAAAATTTATAAAATCAAAATTTTAAGGGTATTTTCGTCTTTTTAATAAAATATTAACAGAAAATATAACCTAATGGAAAGTGAGAAAGTGCCATTTCATCAGGGTCGCTCTCCCATAGCATAAAAGAGAGGCACGATAGTCGTGATTGCTGATGTGAAGAGGATGATCAATTAAAAGGGACAACAACACATAAAACACGTTCCAAGATTAGTGTATATAAGTACTATAAACCTTTTTGGAATATTTCATCCATAAAAAATCCATGGAACTATATAAGAAAGAATATCAATTTATAATTTACTTCAATTTCATTCATTTGATAGAATTTTCTCTTCATTCTATAATTCTTTCTCAATTTTCTTTCATTTTCTCGTAATCTAAATCATCATAATCTGCTAATTTTAACTTTTGAAAATAGATTTACATTTAAAATAATTATGGAAAACTTTTTCTAAAGAAAATATAATAATATGTAAAATAAAATATTAGAATAAATCATTAAAAGAAGGGTTAATAATATAACTCCTTTTAGGCATAATTAAGCAAAAAGCATCCTCCTATAATTATGGAAATAACAAAAATTACTTTATTGTTAATTTTTCGGTATTAAAATGGTAAAAAGATAATTTATCAATTTGGTAAATATATATTAACATATTATGTTACAAATTTGAATGATACATAAATGACTAATTAATTATTAGAAAATTTTCGTTAATTTTGAAATCAGGAAAAAAATTTAATTAAAGCTTAGGAACAAGAGCAAGTCAAGCGAGGACCAAGTCTAGGCACTATTGCAGTCTCAGTCGTCGGAGACCAAGTCTATACTGGAAAATAATTTAACCCGGTAGCCCATTCTACACTTAATTAACCCCCCTTTTCTTCCTTTTAACTTCTCTTCTTAACTTGTTTTTCTTTAAAAGTTGGCTTTTAATTCTTAAAATTATGTTATGCGTTATGCTCTTGATGATGGGGGTGGTGATTCTTCATTTTCACCCGGCAAGATCGATGCTTGCTCGTTGTTTTTAATACCCTTTGTGCGTTCTTTGATGTTGTTCAGCTCGGCTTCTTGGAACTTCAGGTACACCTTTCAAATTTTAAGTTGATCAAGTCAACTGGGTTTCAAATTTTACTTCTTTATGTTAAATTGCCAAATTTGATATTAGGAATTTTGTTTCAGGGTTTGATGCTGTAAGGACTTTGCTTTTGTGAGTTTAGTAAGTGACAATAATTAGCAGTTGTAGTTTGTAGACATGGAGTCAAAAAAGTTCTCTCTTTCTCTATGGATATTACTTGGCTGTAGTTTGAGCTATGCTACCCTGCAAGATATTGCTTGCTTGAAAAGTATAAAAGCTTCACTTGAGGACCCTTATAATTACTTGAATGCTTCTTGGAATTTTGACAATGATACTGAAGGATACATCTGTAAGTTTGCTGGGGTTGAGTGTTGGCACCCCGATGAGAATAAGGTTTTGAATCTCCGCCTTTCCGATATGGGACTCAAGGGCGAGTTTCCTCGTGGCATTAAAAATTGCACGAGTCTGACTGGGTTAGATCTTTCAAGCAACAATCTTTCTGGAAGTCTTCCACAAGATATTTCTGATTTAGTTGTGTATTTGACAGCTCTTGATCTCTCATCAAATAACTTCTCAGGGAGTATTCCGATAGATCTTGCTAATTGTACCTATCTGAACACTCTGAAACTTGATCACAACCAACTCACGGGTCAGATTCCGGTGGAACTAGAGCAACTTCGTCGGCTGAAAGCGTTTAGTGTATCTAATAATCAACTGTCTGGGCCGATTCCACACTTTGATAGTTATTCTCCTAAGGCCGAAGATTTTTCAAACAATCCAGGACTGTGTGGGGAACCGTTGAAGTCTTGCTAAGATTATATTATCAATGGTTTTATGTGAAGCAAACACCCAGTTATGGGTAGTAGTTACAATCTATTGTATACTTATGAAACACTTATTTACTTGGCTTTAATTCCAGTTTATATACCTTTGTTCTTACTTTTGTTGAATGTGTAGAACTTGTTTATTATTAATAAATGTGAAAATGTAAGTCAAGACTCAAGATTTTTAAATTGATCTTTTCGAGTTTCAAGTAACGAAATCTAGTGTTTGGATTGAGAGAAAATAAGGGAAAGTGATTGAGAAAAAATATTCTATAAAAGAAGAAAAAAGGGTCTGTGTGGTACCACAAATTGGTGAAATTTGGTGTTGCACTTGAGAGAAAATAACTAGAGTTGTAACATCAAATGCAAACGTTAAAAGTGGCCAAATAATGTGACAAGATTTTATTTTTGAAAATTTTCATTTCCAATTGCCAGTGAACAAACATTAAACATATCTAAGAAACTAAACTGATTAACAGAAAAAATAAAAATTTATTTTACACTAAAAGACTCCAAATATATTAACAAAACATGTAAAGATGCTACACAAACAGGCATAAATTTATTTGTCCATATATTAAACAATCTTTTCCCATAAAAAAAAAAATATATATTAAAGAATCTTTTAGTGAAAAAAATAGAGTATACGCGCGGTCTGAAAACAACACCGGAAATGGTAGGCAAAGAGTAGCGGCACGGCGGCGGGCGAAGTAAACAAAGTGAGTGGCGGTGGCACCTTTTGTTTTCCTCGGTGGAATTGCGCTTGCCAACAAGCTGACCTAGCTCAAATAAGTATGCGCTCAAGTGAAAAAAGATAAATAAACTTAGGTATTATTTACAATTAGGTTATATACATTTTCCACTCACAAAGATTAGACTGCTAAAAAAATAAAGATAGATTGGAAAATATTTTTCACAACTTTCTCCTATAAACACTGATATAACATTTCGTAATTGGTTAGATCGCATTTGGATAGACGAAACCTATTACGAGTTAACTAATTACAAGTTGATATTTCGCTTTTGTGAGAAATTGTTAATGAGGATGATTTGTAAGTATAATATTAATAAAGAAATAAATAGAAAAAAGAGATTAATTTGTAGTAGGTGTGATGTTATCCTGTTGGGCTTTAACTCATTTTATTCAAATCAATTTCAATTTCCATGAGAACTAAGAATTTTTTTTTTTTTTTCATTGTAGAAAATTAAACAATACTTTAACTCTTAATTAACTTGCAAGGCTAAATAATATTAAATTTAATCTCTTAAAGCAAACCCTAAGCAAGAACGTTCGGTTCCATATTCCATCCCTTTAGAAGAATTTTAATGCTGATAATATTAGTTTCCAAACAAAACATTTCAAACTTCGGTGTAAGAAAAAAAAAAATAAAGGTTTAGGGAATTGAGAAAAAAGGGTATAACAGTTTTTTAATATGGGGTACATATTAAATAAATACATGGTTTTCGTGGTAATTACTAGTTAAAAAAAAAATGTTATATTTATAAAATTATTATTCGTTAATATGTTTATGGATGATAACCACCTTGTTAATGATATTTATAATTAATGTGTCTAATTACAGAAGATATGATTTAAAGTCGAAATCCCAACTTTCTTTAATATATTATTGTTTTATCAGTGTTACACATAATAAATAACCATCCCATACCGGCAATATAAAAAATTTATAAATTATCATTTCAATGTTATAACCTTTACCGTTTGTCACATTGGTATCAATCAATTATTCCAAGTTACAATTCCGCTTTACTCCATCGATTAAATAATTTCAATGTTATTAGAATATGTAACTTTAATGGATGATACTATCAACAAATAAACGTCAAATAAATAATATTGAATGGTACGTTGGTAAATGAGTAATATAACATCTACAAATTTCAATATTCTTTCTCAATTTTCTCTCATTTTCTTTTATTTTTCTTAAGAGCATCTCCAACCTAACACCATTTTGGTGTAAATGGTGTAGAAAATATGCTTTAACCCAACACAAAAAACTATATCAAATTAGTGTAAGTGAACAGTGTCACGTCAAATTTGGTATAATACTGTTCATTCACACTAATTTGGTGTGATACTATTCATCTACTATAAAATGTATTTTAGTTTTTTATTTTTGTTATTTGTATTTATGTTAATTTGATTATTATTTATATTTATGTTTATAATAATAAATTCATAATAATTATATAATTAAAAAAAGGATGAAAAATTAAAAACAAAACTTTATTCAATACAAATATTAAACTACAATAACTCAAAATAAAAATTAACACTAATTTAAAAATACTAAAATTAAAAGAAAATACATCATAAACTAAAATAACAATTTAGTATTTCGATAGATTAGTTCCAGATCCTCTAAAATCATCAAAATATTGGAAAGAACCAAAGCTATTTTGAGATCATTGACCTTGTTATTGAACTTTTTTTTGCATAATTCTTGATTGCTCATTTTGAAAAAACTCACGTAGACTTGGATTGGTTATGAAATTCAAATCCTTGAGTAAAATTTTGTATTCTTTTCGATATTCTGCCAAAGCCAAATTTGCCTTCTTTTTGTGGTATTTTATATTACATGTAATGTTTTTTTAATATTAAATATAATGTTTATTTGATTAAATAAATGCTTAATTTTATTAAATTAGTATAATTTTCAAAGTAATTATTATTTAATAAAAATATTATTCCTGAGATTTAATTAATATATACAAAAATAATTAGTAAAATAGATTGATTGTTGATTATTAATAAAAAGAAAAAGAAAGAGAATATTTTAAGGAATATTCTTTTTGGTGTGATGGGTTAGAGATGCAATAGTAAAGTACACAAAAAATTACATTAATTTGGTGTAAAACTTGCACTAATTTAATGTTTGTGGTTGGAGATGGTCTAAGTTTAAACATTCTTAATAGGCTAATTTTTAATTTTAGAAAATAATTTTATATTAAAAATAAATTATGGAGCAGAAAACTTTTTAAAAAATGGGTTTTTTTTAATAGAAAAACTGTGAATGTTTGGCCTTTTTCTGTGAGCACCCATTGATTTTTCTGACCATTCCATGTTGACAAGACTCCGTGTCAGTCCAACTTTTTCAGGCATAACACCTTTGTTGTGATCTCCAAAAGGAATACTAATATTTCCAAATCAATTCTTCCCCAAATATAATCTAAGATGACAAGGATTTGCTTCTCTTGTTAATTCTTTATCAGAAAGAACCTCTTTCTGACTTGTCACTGCTAGGTAGTGTCAAGTGTCACTGGTTAGCAATTTGCTGTACAGTTCTCACGAACTTGGATTCTGAAACACAACCACCATCACTACTACATCTCATAACTTTTCCTGTTTTGCTTGTTTGTTAATTTCCTTCACTGATGTAGTTTCACCTGGTACAGAAAATTTAGGGTACACAAGAAGCATATATAATTGAGCACCAGGAACCTCATTAAAATGTTGCATTGCCTTCAGGAAGTAGTGATGACAATGTGGTCTGTATATACGGTCCAATGTTGTTCCAGGACCTGAAAACTGCAAAAGAAGACTACATCTAATAAAAACATCGGTGTAAAACAAGGATAGAGGATCCTGTAGTCAAAGATAGTGAAATCTTTTGCAAATGATTTACAAGCGCTCAGCTCGTTTTCTGTACAAGATGGTTGAAAAAATGGGCCGGAATTTTTTTTTTTTTTTCTTTAACCACTTAGCAGATTCAGCAAAGAAAAACTAGAGGGATGAGGTTTGAGCGGATACCTCTCAACTTTCCATTCTATTTTCACATCGTGAAAGAATAGCATTAACCTATGCCAAGTAATCAGTGTAAGGCAGTCCAACAGCTCTAGCCACCATGCAATAGTATTCACCAAGCTCCGCTTTCTCAGCAATAAGGAATAGTGACATCCACAAAAAATGATTTTGAACCTATGAACATTTGTCCCAACTTTTCCTTTTGATAGGACAACACTTAGAACGAAAAGAGATACAAAAATGAACCAGAGGTCTACAGGGAAACCCAAAAGTGATGCCCCAGAAGAAAGCCAAAAACAATTTTTTTTTTTATACCCTAAAGCTGCATCTAAACCGTATACAACTACAAAACGGAAGTAAATATTACAACCAACCCTTCCTCCAAAATGTAGTGTTATCATTAATATAATGGTAGGTGAGTTAGCAAATGTGTCTAGATAAGAAAGCAAAAATGGAGGAGAAAAATACAATTGGTGTGGAGGCTTTACGCGATGGCCAAAATCAGCCGTCGTGAACTCTGACACGTGAGGACTAAACGATAGCCATAATGAGAAGAAAGAAAGGTGGGAGAAAAGAAGAAAAAAAATAAAAGAGTGGAGAGAAAAAAATGAGGGTTTCTAATAAAGTTTAAAAGGTCCAAAATGCTCTTCATAAAACTTAGATATATCGGGTGCGTTTTGGTTTTTTTTTGATAGGATTTTGGGGATAGTATTGGATAATTGAATATGGGAGGATTCGAGGTAAAATTTAAAATTTTAAAAAAAACCTCCTAAGTTTGCTAATTTAATAAATACCCAACATGTAAAATGAAAAATACCCCACCACCTGCAGTGCCAGATTCCGGCCACCACCGCGGAATCTGGCCGAAAAATCGAGTTACGACACAGACCGGTGGATCTATGTTGTAACGTGTCGTTAAAGCCTTTTCCAGCCAGATCCACCATGAATTGACTGGAAAAGGCCAGATCTACGGCGTGCCGTGGCCGTCGACGGCCGAAAAAGGCTAAAGTTGGCCGTCGTTTTCGGTCAACGATGGCCAAGATTTGGCCGTCGTTGACCTCAACGACGTCATTTCTTTGGCGCTCGTTACAGTCAGATCTGGCGAAAAAAGCTAGATCGGTGAACTTCCGGCCATTATGGTTTGCAGGTAGGCCGTTGTATAGATTCCAGCTACCACCGACGATGGTTGCCGGAATCTGGCACGTTGGGTCCGGGGGTGTTTTTAAATTTTAAACTTTTTTTTCAGGGTGTATTTGTGAAATTAATAACCTTATGGGGTTTAAAAGTAATTAAAAAGATAGGGTAATATTTCGGAATAATGTGCCAAACATTATTTGGATAATAGGACTGAGAAAGAGATAAATAATAAAGCTAACATGGCCAATATTACCTTACCACAATACCACATGCTAAGTAAGGTTAATGGAAAATGCTAATGGAATGAGAGTTAAGGTCGTATTTTCAAAACCAAGCGGTACTCGTATAAAAATATCAAACATACAGGGGTTAAAAAGAAATTAAATAAACTTTGTATGTAAAATAAAATAATTAAAGGATACAAAAGCAAGTCAAGCGAGCACTCAAAGTCTACGCGCTATCGCAGTCTCAGTCGTCGCCGGAGCTTGGAAAAACATGGCCTCCTTGTTTGAACCGATAACTCCTTTGGCCTTCTCTTTCTACACTTAACCCTTTTTTTCTCTTTTTCTTTTTAACTTCCTTCCTCACTTGTTTTTCTTTGCCTTTTAATAGTTGAAATTATGTTATGCTCTCTATGATGGTGATGATGGCGGTAGTGATTCTTCATTTTCACCAGGCAAGATCGTTGCTTGTCCGTGTTTTGAATACCCTTTATGGGTCTTTGATGTTGTTCAGCTGGGCTCTTGGAACCTCAGGTGGGCCTTTTAAATTTAAGTAATCAAGTCAACTGGGTTTGCAATTGCAGTTTTTTGTGTTGAATTATTGCTTTGAAATTCATGTTACTACCGAATTTGATGTTTTTTTGTTAATTTTTTTTTTTTCGAATTTTTGTGCGGGTTTGATGTTGTAAGGACTGCTTCTTTGTGGAGTTAGTAAGTGAAAATTTGTTATACAATAATTAGCTGTTAGTTTGTTATAGGTTTTGGTGGGTTTTTTCATAGACATGGAGTTAAAGAGTATTCTTTTGTTGGGATTCTCTATGGAATTAGTTAGTTGTACTTTGAGCTATGCTACTGTGCAAGATATTGCTTGCTTGAAAAGTATAAAAGCTTCATTTGAGGGTCCTATAATTACTTGAATGCTTCTTGGAACTTTAACAATAATACTGAAGGATACATTTGTAAGTTTGTGGGGTGAGTGTTGGCACCCCGATGAGAATAAGGTTTTAATCTCCGATTCTTCGGATTATGGGACTCAAGGGTGAGTTTCCTCGTGGCATTAAGAACTGCTCGAGTATGACTGGGTTAGATCTTTCAAGCAACAATCTCTCTGGAAGTCTTCCAGAAGATATTTCTCATTATGTTGGGTTTTTGACAGCTCTTGATCTCTCATCAAATAAGTTATCGGGGATTATTCCGGAGAATCTTGCTAATTGTAGCTATTTGAACAGCCTGAAACTTGACCACAACCAGTTCACTGGTCCGATTCCTGCACAACTAGGGCAGCTTGGTCGGCTGAAAACATTTAGTGTAGCTAATAACCAGCTGTCTGGGCAGATTCCAATATTTTCCAATTATACTGCTAAGCCAGATGATTTTGCAAATAATCGAGCACTCTGTGGGAAACCGTTGAATCCTTGCCAGACACCTTCAAAGGACCCTCACACTGGAATTATTGCTGGGGCAGCAATTGGCGGGGTCACTTTTGCTGCGATAGTTGTGGCTATTTGTCTGTTTTTCTATTACCGTAGATATGCTGTGAAGAAGAAGAAGGATGATGATCCTGAAGGAAATAAATGGGCAAAGAGCTTGACGGGATCAAAAGGCATTAAGGCAAGCTAATTTAATATGTATTTTAGAAAGCACTAAAGATTTCACTTTACCTTCATGAATAGGAATCATTTTGCAGTTCTATATTATCATTATAATCATTTGCTTACATGTCTATCTACTACCTGTATTATACTAAAAAGTATTGTTTACCAGGTTTCCATGTTTGAGAAGTCAGTTACAAAAATGAGATTAAGCGATCTCATGAAGGCTACTAACAACTTCAGCAAATACAATATTATTGGTTCAGGAAGAACTGGGACAATGTACAAAGCGGTGCTTGAAGATGGCTCTTCACTTATGGTTAAGAGGTTACAGGATTCTCAGCGTTCTGAGAAAGAATTTCTGTCCGAGATGGCTACTTTGGGAAGTGTGAAACATCGTAACTTGGTTCCTCTTTTAGGCTTTTGCATGGCTAAGCAGGAGAGACTTTTGGTTTATAAGCACATGGCCAATGGTACCCTGTATGATAATTTACATCCTGCTAATGATGGAGGCAAGCCTATGGAGTGGTCCCTGAGGCTCAAAATAGCTATAGGGGCAGCCAGAGGATTTGCTTGGCTACATCATAACTGCAATCCCCGTATCATTCACCGAAATATTAGCTCCAAATGCATTTTATTGGATGCGGAATTTGAGCCTAAAATATCTGATTTCGGGCTTGCTAGGCTTATGAATCCAGTTGATACTCATTTAAGTACCTTTGTGAATGGAGAGTTTGGAGACTTGGGTTATGTTGCTCCAGAGTATGCGCGAACTCTTATGGCCACACCAAAGGGTGATGTTTACAGCTTTGGAACTGTGCTTCTGGAGTTGGTGACTGGTGAGAAACCCACCCATGTGGCTAAAGCTCCTGAAACCTTTAAGGGAAATTTGGTGGAATGGATGTCACAACTGTCAAAGAGTGGTCAACTCCAAGATGCTATTGACAAGTCTTTGGTTGGGAAGGGTGTTGATACCGAGCTTTTCCAGTTTCTTAAAGTTGCATGTAACTGTGTCCTTCCAGAGGTTGCCAAGGAGAGGCCTACCATGATTGAAGTATACCAGTTTCTAAGAGCTATCGGGGAGCGGTACCATTTCACCATCGAGGATGAGATATTGATGCCCTCAGACACTGGTGATGCTGATTATATCGAAGAACTTATTGTTGCTCGTTACGGATAATAACTGAAAAAAGGTATGACAAACATAGTTGCATTTGTTGTCATAATTTATATGTAATTATCTATTGTGCACTGTCTAAATAAATGTTAATATTACATATAGTTTTGATGGTTTAGTTGCTGGTATGACCTTTCTGTATTGATAATTTGATACATTATTGAAATGGCATCAATATATAGTTTCCACTTCCAACATTTATTATTAGCTCTATCTCTGGTCTACAAAAGATGTACTTTTCTTTATTACAGCTTTCCTTTGATTCACACGTGGTTTATTTGATGGTATTATACTGCATTCCATTTTTTATCCTTTATTTGACATTGCTGTTGAGAGATATAGTAGCCTGAGGTTTTTGTTGCCTCTAAAGCACGCTAGTAAGTAAAGCAGTGTATCTATATGCGCTGTTATTTGGACAAAAACTCAACTTGATTGGCTTTGGCTATTATACAGGACTGGAAAAATTGCATATTACAGATTTTACTTTTTTGGTTTACAAGTTTTACATTATGAGTTTACAAATTTTAAGTTTTACGATTTCGGTTTTCAAGTTTTACGTTGTTCGTTTATGAATTTTACGTCATGTAGTGATGCAGAATTGTATTGATTGAATGTTGGTGTAAATTTAGTTATCCTAGCCTACAGAGAGGTAAAGTTTGAGGGTTTGACCTTCACTTGATGCAAGGGCTGCATTAGTGGTAATGTATTGTTCCTCCTATATCTCAACAAACCCGAGGTAAGTATCTTTAGGTCCCTGAGGTTTGCCCTAAATGGTTAGGTCCAGTAGATTCGGAAAGTGACACTTGGGTCCATATCTATTAACTTACATTTAACGAATTTTGGTGTCACCCAAGACAAGTTCTAAAATGCCCCCATTATGTTTTATGTGAATTAACTGAAAATATTAACGTAATTATAAAAAAAAAAAAAAACTTAACATATTACGAAACTGAAGATTAAAAAGACCCCATTTAATTTCGGAATCTATTGGACTTAACGGAGAAAGGCTAAACCTTAGGGACCAAAATGTATTTACCTTTACTAAACGCTATCTTAATAAATTCACTTGCATAATGACTTAAATTTGCATTAACTTGTGATTTGAGTTTAATTCATATACCCATCTCAGATGGATTAATATTAAATATCTTCTTGATAGGAGGATTTTGGATACTTTCATGAGACGTTTTTATTGATAATCAACGTGATTTCAAAGAGTATAGAATACTTTCTGATAATTGTGGTGGTACAATTAATATTCATTGATCTCACTGTTGTATTTAAAATAAACCAACTATATATTTATATATAGAATCTAAAAATTAAAAAAAAAAAAAAAAGTGAAAATACGTTTTCTTTTTCACCCAAAAAAAGAGTAAGACCATGTATAATTTATGGAGTTGTAAGAAATTGGAATGGGAATGAAATGAGCTCCTAGAATGCCACAAACAAGGAATGAGGAATCCCAATTCCATTCCCTCCTCAAATCCACCAAGTAAATACCAACTAAATCTGATTTATGGTTAATATTTCTAGACTGCAACCCACATCAACTGGAAACTCTTTAAGAGTTGCAAGCAAAATCATAGTGTTACCAAGTATCAATATATTTAGAAAATGTCTATAAATAAACAAGACTAAAGAGATTTTATTGAGGTCAGGAAGTTTACATACACACCAAACAATTGGTAACAAATAAAGCAAACCAAATCATAAGAAAGTTGATGCCGGATCCACCATTATTGCTAAGCATGAAGGGAGCTCCTGTTGTCACTAAACTTGATAAAAGAGGAAATATAAAACTCATTAATCATCAATAAAAGTGAATTTGCACTTGAAGGGCAATTGAAAATATTTGTAGCTTAGTTCCGGACTAGAAAACACGTTTTTATCCAGTTCTTCGATGTTTGTTAGGATGGCCTTTTTAAGTTGTAAGATGCTGATCCACATATATTTGTTCTTCCCACAGTCTGAATTCCAATCGGCAAACCACCACATTTAGCAGCGAACTCCCGGCAGTAAAGTTTATATCACAATCATCAACTACTTGATCAGCAACCTCCCTGAAAAAGATCCGAGATTCTTGTTTCAATAGAGTTTCAACTCTAAAAAATTTTCAGGAAACTTATCGCTGCAGACCTCTTGGCATCGAAAGGTGAGCATAATCTTATACCTTTGTTGTGATCTCCAAAAGGAATACTAATATTTCCAAATCAATTCTTCCCCAAACATAATCTAAGATGACAAGGATTTGCTTCTCTTGTTAATTCTTTATCATAAAGTACCTCTTTCTGACTTGTCACTGCTAGGTAGTGTCAAGTGTCACTGGTTAGCAATTTCCTCTACAGTTCTCACGGAACTTGGATTCTGAAACACAACCACCATCACTACTACATCTCATAATTTTTCCTGTTTTGCTTGTTTGTTAATTTCCTTCACTAATGTAGTTTTACCTGGTACAGCAAATTGAGGGTACACAAGAAGCATATATAACTGAGCACCAGGAACCTCATTAAAATGTTGCATTGCCTTCAGGAAGTAGTGATGACAATGTGGTCTGTATATACGATCCAATGGTGTTCCAGGACCTGAAAACTACAAAAGAAGACTACATCTAATAAAAACATCGGTGTAAAACAAGGATAGAGGATCCTGTAGTCAAAGATAGTGAAATCTTTTGCAAATGATTTACAAGCGCTCAGCTCATTTTCTGTACAAGATGGTTGAAAAAAGTGCCTGAATTTTTTTTTTTTTTTTTTACCACTTAGCAGATTCAGCAAAGAAAATCTAGAGAGGGTATTGAGTTTGAGCGGATACCTCTCAACTTTCCATTCTATTTTTCACATCGTGAAAGAAATAGCATTAACCTATGCCAAGTAATCAGTGTAAGGCAGTCCAACAGCTTTAGCCACCATGCAATAGTATTCACCAAGTTCCCCTTTCTCAGCAATAAGAGTAATAGTAACATCCACAAAAAATGATTTTGAACCTATGAACATTTTTCTCAACTATTACCTTTTTATAGGACAACACTTAGAACTAAAAGAGATACAAAAAGTGAACCAGAGGTCTACAGGGAAACCCAAAAGTGATGCCCCCGGAAGAAAGCCAAAAACTATTCTTTTTTATACCCTAAAGCTGCATCTAAACCGTATACAACTACAAAACGGAAGTAACAATATTACAACTAACCCCTTCCTCCAAAAAATGTACTATTATGACATTACTATAAATGGTAGGTGAGTTACCAAATGTCTCTCAGATAACACTTGATGCATGAATGCTTTACAAATAGACTTTTGTGCTATCAACCTTCTCCCACCATGATTTGTGAATAAATGAACAGAACCAAATCATAGTTATAAAAGCTGAGATATCATTACAATTGACGGAAAACTAAGCAACAAACCTCATTGAATGGACAAGCTCCAGTCAAAATATGATGAAAAAAATGCAATTAGACTAAGTTCCATGCAATAAAACAGGCACAAATATCAGGGTTAGGTGAACTAAACCTAAAGAATAATCAAGATAAAGATTGAGAAAAAAAAAATGTTGGTAGTTACAGATTTGATAAAAGCAAAAAGCAAGCCAAATTTCCAGCATAACATGCTTAGTGAATGATGCAAATAAAACAGCATGTCATAGGAATATCCATTGGCCCGCATCAGATAGGCACAGTGAGCACAACTTAATCATATCATCTCCAACGCTTTTATGCCCTATATTAGAACTAAAAGAGATGCAAAAACTGAACCAGAGTTCCACAGGCAAAACCAAAAGTAGTGCCCATGTAGAAAATAAACTGCTGTTGATTTGTATATCCTAAATCTGCACCCAAACTAGTATACTGCTTCGAAAGGAAAGTAAAACAATTACAACTACCGGAAGTAAGATTAGCCCACAACCTATTCCTGGAAAAAAAGTACTATTACGACATTCCTATAAATGGTTGGTGAGTAACCAAATGTCTCTCAGGTAAGACCTGATGGCTGATGCGTAACTGCTTCCTGTTATTGAGCTTCTCCTACCCTGATTTGTGAACAGATGAACAGAAAACCGAATCATAGTTATAAAAGCAAGATAACATTACAATCAAAGGAAAACTAAGCAACAACCTCAATTAATGGACAAGCTCGAGTCAAAATATGAGGAAAAAAAATGCAATTAGTCTAAGTTCCAAGCAATAAACCAGCTGCAAATATCAGTGTTAGGTGAACTAAACCTAGAGAAATAATCAAGAGAAAGATATAGAAAAAGTATGTTTTTAGTTACAGATTAACGAAAGCAAAAGCAAGCAAACATTCCAGCATAATATGCTTAGTGAATAATTCAAATAAAAAGAGCATGTCATAGGAAAATTCATTGGCCCGCATTAGATAGCCACAGTGAGGACCATTTACTCATATCATATCAACGAATTTACAAATACCTGAAAGCTTCTTGAAAAATCAATCAATGAACACTGCAAACAAACTAATTAGTAGACACTGCAAGATATAGGACATTAAACCATAAAAAAGTAACAATTAAGAAAACCCTTTTCGGAGTTTGTCTTTCTAAAATGAAACAAGACATTGAATTTCATTTACCTTTAAGATTAAAACAATATTCTAAAATATATATAATCTCTTATTGGTTTCATTAATATTCTTCTTAACAGAAACAAATCACAATTAAGATTTAAAAATTCTTTAAAAATCAAGCATGTTAAAAAAGTTTGATGTTCTGAAAAAAAATCCAAAATATTTTTCTGATTCCTTTGCAAAAAATTTTAGAACTTTTCTCAATTCTCCGAAAAACATTTCTGAACACGTTTAAAAAACAGAGAAGCATTCTATAAAATGATATTGCATGACCTATTTCTACCTATTTCATAAAACTTAAAAAAAAAAAATTCAATAAAAAAATTCAAAACCCATAATGAAACACAAAAATTAGGCCTACACAGAAACTCAATTTTTTGGATATTACCTCATAGACATTAAAATTTTAATCTTGCGTTTCCAAGCCTCCTCCTTTGAGTTATCTTCTGAAGCTCTATGAAGGCGTCTAGCATACGCTTAATAATCTCGTAATTTTTCAATTTCTCAGGATCGTATTCATCTCCTTCTCGTCGAGATCTCGAGACAGGAGGAGAGGAAGAACTCGAAGTTACCTCCATAACAGAATAAATCAAATTCACACAAAAATTCAGTAAGGATTCAAAGAATTTCAGCGAGAGAGAGCAAGAATTTTGAGTTCTTATGGCTTGATTGCAGTGAAAATTCGAATTGAGAAAGAGCCACTAGGGTTTGATTCAGAGAAAATTTGTAAACATAGAGGGAAGTTCAAAAAAAAATATAGCCGTTTTACCGAATTAAGGCGGCATAAAACAACCGGCAGGCTTGTGTATAATTTTCAACCGAGTCATTCGAACCGGTATCCGGTCCAATTAAACGTGCGCATTTTGAAAATAACCCCCAGATGAGTCAGCACTCCGGTTTTAAGGAAAAGTTTTGAACGCCAATTAGGTAAAATAAAAAAATGCTAACATACTTTAGAAAATTACAAATAAACCCCCAAAACTTGTCATTGTTTCAGGTTTACTTCGTTTCTCGTTCTCTAAGCTTTCTGAATCTGTAAAATTGAGGATATTATATCTTGGAAATTCTAAGTGCTAATTTTACTACTGTAAATTTAATGAGCTTTTGCTTAGTAAGAAAAAAATAAAAATTGTCCAACATGTCAACTACAAAGAGAGTAAGCAGACAACATGTTGTATTACTCATGATTGTCAAATCATATATTGTATCGTATATTAAAAATTTAATTTTTCGAATCGTGTATTATGTATCGTATCATATCATATCGTATGATACATATTTTTCAAAAAAATTAATAAAATAATAAAAAATTTCTAAAAATTAATATCATCCCCATGATTAATTAACGAATTTTATGGTATTATTGACTTTAAATTATGGTATTATTGGCTTTAAATTATGATATTACGTAATCAAAATCAAGAATCTATAATATTTTCAAAATTAATGTCAATATATATATCTTCACTTGTATTATTATTACCATACAAAATGGGCAACATATCTTCCTCATCACTTTTTTCATGCAAAATAGGTAAATTTGGGTAGGTTTTAGTGAACTGGGTTGGGTGACCCGAATCCGATTCGAATTTTTTTTTTTTATAAAATTGTATCGATATTTTTAAGGATATGAACGGATACATATTGTATCGTAAGATACATATCAACGTATCGAAAGGTTTATGATACATTCTCTAATATGTATCGTTGGTAACCTGCGTGTCATAGGATACTAACAACCATGTACTTGCTTATGAGTAGATGACATCATGACAATTGATTGAAAGCTTTTTAAATCAAAAGTAAAATACCATAATTTAATAGCTGCAAACACTCTTAAATAGTAAAGTAAACATTGTGACTACAAGTCGTTTCGAGTACTAAAAATTGTACATATGATAAGATACTACCAACCGAGATCATAAATAATAATCATCATTTAAAGCTAATTAAGTTAGCTACAAATTCCTCAATATTTTTATCAGAACTTCCACCTTTAGCCATGGCCTCTTTGGCCAATTTCTTCCACTTACCTGCATTCTCTTTAATCTCCTTCCCTCTCTCACCCTCCAAAATTTCCTTAATGCAATGCTCTATTGCTTCTTTTCTAACAATTCCTTTCTCATCAGCCGGAGCTTTGAGTCCCATTCTGCACATATCCATTATGTTCTTAGCATTAGTGCTTTGGTCTGTCCATTGTGGCATTGCCACCATTGGAACTCCCAAACTTAATGCCTCCAAAGTTGAGTTCCATCCACAATGTGTAACAAAACATCCCATTGCTTCATGTGCTAATACCTCTAATTGGGGACACCAATTGATCATCAAGCCCTTTTCTGACGTCTTCTCCGGGAAGTTTTTTGGTATTTTAGCCTCTTCGGATGCTCTAACTACCCACAGGAAATATTTGTCACTTTGTTTTAGAGCCCAAGCAAGTTCTTCCATTTGCTCAGCTTCTAATGCAGCCAAACTGCCGAAAGACACATAAACAACTGACCCTTCTTCCCGATCATTTAACCATTTCATACAAGCTTCACTATTTGGCTCAAAGATGCTAAAGCCATAGACTTTATCATCTTCAAGTCGCTTATCCAAGTACATGGACGGTATGGTTGGTCCAATTGTCTTTAATGGCCAAAGCTTAGCAAGCCAGTCCACAACCTGCATGAAATTCCATTGCAAAATCTGTTTTTTCAGAACTTTTAGTTAATTTAAAGAATGAGATGATGCATGTCCGGGGTTTGAGCCCCTCATGGTCACCTGTATGGTCAAAGTTTATTATTTCCTACTTTTCAAAGATTACAGGTTTTGACAGGGGTTCCAGTTTTCCGGGCTTGAAATTCTGGATTAAAAAAAAAAATAATAATAATAAAATAAAAAAAATTAATCAAGCATGTCTAATCACAACTCATTTTAATTACCTCTTTCTCCAACTCATAAAAAGTGTTGCAAAGAACGAAATCAGCTTTGTCAATAGTAGCAAACTGACCAGCGACTACCATATCAAAGAAAGCAGGATAGGACTCCAAATCATAAATGAAAGAAGGCATATCTTGGGGCNAAATGCTAACATACTTTAGAAAATTACAAATAAACCCCCAAAACTTGTCATTGGTTCAGGTTTACTTCGTTTCTCGTTTTCTAAGCTTTCTGAATCTGTAAAATTGAGGATATTATTTATCTTGGAAATTCCAAGTGCTAATTTTACTACTGTAAATTTAATGAGCTTTTGCTTAGTAAGAAAAAAAAAATAAAAATTGTCCAACATGTCATCTACAAAGAGAGTCAGCAGACAACATGTTGTATTACTCATGGTTGTTAAATCGTGTATTGTATCGTATATCAAAAACTTAATTTTTCGAATAATGTATCACGTATCATATCATATCGTAGGATACGTATTTTTTTAAAAAATTAATAAAATAATAAATTTTTTCTAAAAATTAATATCATCCCCATGATTAATTAACGAATTTTGTGGTATTGTTGACTTCAAATTATGGTATTATTGGCTTTAAATTATGGTATTACATAATCAAAATTAAAAATCTATATTATTTCCTCTCAATCATTTATATCATTTTCAAAATCAATGTCAATATCTATATCTTCACTTGTATTATTATTACTATACAAAATGGGTAACACATCTTTCTTTTTACTTTTTCCATGCAAAATTGGTAAATTTGGACATGTTTTAGTGAACCGGGTTGGGTGATCCGAATCTGACCTGATTTTTTTTTAGGCCTTTGGTTCAAATTAATAAAGTTGTATTGATTTGTATTGATATTTTTTAAGGATACGAACGGATACATATTGTATCGTAAGATACATATCAATGTATCGAAAGGTTTATAATACACTTTCTGATATGTATCGTTGGTAACCCATATTGACTCGTATCGTAGGATACGTATTACGTATCATAGGATACTAACAACCATGTACTTGCTTATGAGTAGATGACGTCATGACAGTTGATTGAAAGCTTTTTAAATCAAAAGTAAAATACCATAATTTAATAGCTGCAAACACTCTTAAATAGTAAAGTAAACATTGTGACTACAAGTCGTTTCGAGTACTAAAAATTGTACATATGATAAGATACTACCAACCGAGATCATAAATCATAATCATCATTTAAAGCTAATTAAGTTAGCTACAAATTCCTCAATATTTTTATCAGAACTTCCACCTTTAGCCATGGCCTCTTTGGCCAATTTCTTCCACTTACCTGCGTTCTCTTTAATCTCCTTCCCTCTCTCACCCTCCAAAATTTCCTTAATGCAATGCTCTATTGCTTCTTTTCTGACAATTCCTTTCTCATCAGCCGGAGCTTTGAGTCCCATTCTGCACATATCCATTATGTACTTAGCATTAGTGCTTTGGTCTGTCCATTGTGGCATTGCCACCATTGGAACTCCCAAACTTAATGCCTCCAAAGTTGAGTTCCATCCACAATGTGTAACAAAACATCCCATTGCTTCATGTGCTAATACCTCTAATTGGGGACACCAATTGATCATCAAGCCCTTTTCTGACGTCTTCTCCGGGAAGTTTTTTGGTATTTTAGCCTCTTCGGATGCTCTAACTACCCACAGGAAATATTTGCCACTTTGTTTTAGAGCCCAAGCAAGTTCTTCCATTTGCTCAGCTTCTAATGCAGCCAAACTGCCGAAAGACACATAAACAACTGACCCTTCTTCCCGATCATTTAACCATTTCATACAAGCTTCACTATTTGGCTCAAAGATGCTAAAGCCATAGACTTTATCATCTTCAAGTTGCTTATCCAAGTACATGGATGGTAAGGTTGGTCCAATTGTCTTTAATGGCCAAAGCTTGGCAAGCCAGTCCACAACCTGCATGAAATTCCATTGCAAAATCTGTTTATTCAGAACTCTTAGTTAATTTAAAGAAAGAGATCATGCATGTCCGGGGTTTGAGCCCCTCATGGTCACCTGTATGGTCAAAGTTTATTATTTCCTACTTTTCAAAGATTACAGGTTTTGACAGGGGTTCCAGTTTTCCGGGCTTGAAATTCTGGATTAAAAAAAAAAATAATAATAATAAAATAAAAAAAATTAATCAAGCATGTCTAATCACAACTCATTTTAATTACCTCTTTCTCCAACTCATAAAAAGTGTTGCAAAGAACGAAATCAGCTTTGTCTATAGTAGCAAATTGACCAGTGACTACCATATCAAAGAAAGCAGGATAGGACTCCAAATCATAAATGAAAGAAGGCATATCTTGGGGCTGAAATGGTGGCAATCCAGGCAGTGAAACTTCATTGCCTGTAAGTGGCAGTTTGAGCAAACCCTTTTGAGCATGGTAACATATGCTATCAACTGCACAAGATTGAGTGAGAAACACAACTCCAAGCATCCCAAACTTCCTTGCAACATCAAGAGCCCAAGGCAAAAATGAATCATACACAATGCAATCAACAGGACAGCCTGAGACATTCATCTTCTCAACAAGCTCAATAAGAGTTTGTGGCCCAACCTGCCAGAAACGATCCAAGTAGGCTTGAATGCTTTCTGCATTTGCCATGCCGCCTTCGTCATAGCCATCAGAGATTGTCTCCAGTGCAATGGAGCTGGATGAAGCTCTATGGATTGTTTTGAACATGGAAAGAGTAGTGACTAGTGTGACTTTGACTCCTTTGTGATCTAAGCGCTTAGAAAATTGGAGCATTGGGTTCAAATGGCCTTGTGCTGGGTAGGATAAGACCAAACAATGAGCCGTGTGGGAGACTTTCTTTCCAATCTCCATTTTTTTTTTTTTTTCACAAAACTTGAGCTTTCTGTTCTTTCTGTATTGATGTATGTATGATCTCCAGGAAGTGCACAATTTATATATACACGGTTGAGTTGGTGGTTGTGGCCTTGTAAAAGAGACAAAGGCCTGTACGCATATGGGTGTCATTCCAAACACGAAACACGTTTGATCTTGGAGGGCCTATACAAAGATTTTACACTCAAAATCAATAATTTGAACCATTCATTTTTCTCTAGTAAACATATTATCAAAAACAGGAATTCATGTTGCTGATTGAACATTTGAAATGGAAAATTAATGACACAAATGATCATTATGATCTTTGAATTAAGCAACGGGTTATTGTGTTGTAAACTTTTGACAACATTATGTAACGAAAGTTTTTTGTTGGAATCTCACACTTACTAGACACACTCAAGCCTACTGGTTTATAAAGATAGTTAATCTTTTCATTCAATAAGATCTTATTGGATAAGGAGCCAAACACACTTCAAATTTTATCATGATATCAGAATTAGGTCCAGTTGAACTAAGTGTTTGACCCGCGGATGAGAAGTTAAAGCCAATAACTACCTTCATCAACAAACCCACCTCACATTCTATCATTGTTTTCTCCTTGATTCAATGAATTTGAAAGTAAAGTTAGAGATAATTAAACTCAATAATTTCCTTTTTTTTCTTTGAGAATCCAGAATATTTTCTAAACCATCGTCTGACATTGAACTGAGAATCAGAAATTTATGTCAAAATATTTCTACCCCGGCCATTGAATTGCTTACTAGTAGGTTTATTACAGGGAGACCACAATGTAAGAAATTTAGGTGCGCACTGACTAGCTGTTGATACTAGTGTGCGGTTCGCAATTTGAATAATAATTGGAGAAGATTTTTTCTCAGCACTCAGATGCAAACTGATGTCAACCTCAAGTCTGATTCAAGATCACAGCATGACGTTCTATGTTCAACGTCACTCTATTTCCCTATCAACTTTGATAAACTAATCAACTCTCAAATTGTGCACTTCAATGAAACCGTTGCTAGTAAAATAGAAATTTAAATACAATTTTTTTATTTTTTTATTTTTAAAACAAGGGACACAAAAATCTTATAAAAATGTATTCAGTAAGAGTGTTTCCGAAAATAGTTTTTGGGTACAATCTTAAAACTTAGTGAAAAAAAAATAAAAAATGGTTAAAAGTGGTTTTCAAACAGTCTTTTAACTTCTCATTAATAAACTAAAGAACTCTCAAATTGTGTATTTCAACAAAAGGGTTTCTATCAACAGATTCTTTGGATTAATTTGCGTGAACAGTCAGTGGTCCCTTAATCTTCATTTGTTTGGTCTAGTCTGCTGCCTTCATATTTTGCAACAGTATACAGTCATATCGAAAAGGGTGAAGTTTTGGTCTCATTACTTGCAAACGTATGCTTATATTGATTGTGATTTCAATTTAACAGAGACTCAGAATTGCCTGCTGCCCATTACGGTGAAAACTTAAAAGATCCTTTGTGGGAAGACTGAACAATTGAAATATCATAAGGCTACACGACAGTTTTCTGTATTTTGGTTTTTATAATTGTTGCGCATGATTTTTTGACGATCAGATTCATGCCACCTGTCTATAAGTCATATCAAGATCTAATGGTTGGAACCATCCCACATGTTGCTCCCACAAGAGATGACTTAATCAATAAACTGATCAGTCCTAAGCATGGGTGCTCTGACTTAAGTGTGGGTGAAGGCTGACTCAGATCCGGATTACAGGGGGATTATGCGTGTAATCCACACCGTAATACCGACCTCTAATCACTGTCAAACGGTGTGTATAAAAGGGAGGTCTCACGTTCAATTTGGGAGATCGATCCGTGATTATCTAGACAACCATAAGAAATCACTAAGAGAGGTCCTCAGCTCGTTATTACGCTTATCCTCATTGTAATCACTTTGTGTATGTAGCAAATATAAGCAATAATATATTAGTAGACATAGGCTTGGTTTTAACCCACCGAACCATTCTTCTTTGTCTTTTGTTATTTAGTACAAACTTCATCACCAAGCTGATTATTTATATTCATGTGCACATCCTACCTAGTCCTGTCTTGGTCAACTAAGTATCTTTGGTTGTTGCGAGTTTTCGTAACAACAATAACCAAACATGCGAATCTTAAGTAAGAAATGTGATTTATGCACTACAAAAAGTATAATGTAAATATATGTGACATTCAACAAGATTAATTGAAAACTATTATGCTTAAACTTGTAAACAATTATATAGATCTCTAAATTTTTATCAAAGTAGGGCAAAAGTCTAACGATTATTGTAACGGTGAATATTGTAGATCTTTTCCAGCTCCATCTGTTTTAACTAATAATATATATGAGTACGAAGGATATGAAAACCATTGTTTTAAAACCTGACTCGGCCTAACTGGTTGAATCGGTTCAATTGAGACCCAGGGCCTTCACCGGGATGGGTTATCAATTTTCCTATTCACCGAAAACCCTAGAAATTTGGATGATGATTGGCGAACAAGTGACGATCGAAATGTTGAGGGTTTTGAAAAGGAAGGGCCAGTGAGTGCAATGGTGGTGATTTCTGGTGAGTGAATAGACCAGAAATCACAAAAAACTACAACGACAACAACCGACCGTTGTCGACGATTGGCGAGGCAAATGGGAGTGGAGTGAGATGGGTTTCGGTCAAGAGATTGAGGGGAGTATTTTTGTGGTGATGGGGAGGGTTGTCGACGCCAACAATGGTGAGATTTGGCTTGGGTTGTAGACGTTAGCAATGGTGAGATTTGGCCAAAATCGAACTAATTTCGACTAGATATTACATAGAATTTCTGGGGAAGGGCTAAAGGGATGATTGGGATTGCATTTAGTGTGACATCGCTGCCAACTAGTTTATTTGTCAATTTGTATTTGATGTGTATTTGCTAAATTTCAAACCTGTAGGAACTTAACAATTTTCAGAAGTGTATTTGCTAAATTTTAAAAGTTTGGACACCCGGTTTGACCGGCCACTCAAACCGGTCAATGATGTGTATGATTTTGTTCACAAGCAACATTAGCAAGCATACTAATCGCACAACTAATAAAGTGGTGAAGAGAATATCATCCCACATAAATTGTGTATTAATTATCGAAGTTTCTACTCTATTACTAATTGAAGGACATAAAAATTGGATTTGGCGGGAGACAAATTAATTAAACTAAAACAAAATATTGAAACTTGCTAGAATTAAATGTGAGTAATAAATTGGCCGAATTAATTTTTTACCCTATATTTATTGAAAGTATAGTTGATACCCCAAATATAGAAAACCATCAAATTTACCCATTTTAAAAAGTCAAACGTTAAACGTAACGTCAAAAAGTAAATTTTGTCATTTTTATTGATTTTCAAGTTTAAGTGATAAAACCAAACAATTAATAAATATTTGAATATAAAATATTTACTTTTTCTAAGTTTTCAGTTGTGAAAACAAACGTGCCCTACAAAGTTTATATGTATTACAATAAAAAGTTATTTTTCTTTAATGATGAAGAAAATATAGTAATTTATGTAAAGATTGACTACATTAATGTCATTTCAATTTTTAAAGTGTTTATTTATTTATTTTTATTTTTAGGGTTAACTTAAGGGATATATATAAAATTGACCATAAATTGAGAGGAGCAGGGTTAAAATAATTAACCAACTCCTCAAACCATCAACCTTAAACCTTTATGACCACCTGATGACAATTCTCCATTTTACCCTCTTATAAATAGAAAAACCAAGAAGGAGAAAGAAAATTACAAAATATGATACAAGTTTCGAATCAATCAAACAACAGTAAATTATAGAAGAAAATTAGATAAAAGGATACCTAGAAAAACATCTAATAAACTGAAATTCCACATTTATAAAGAATATTGTATAACCAAAATCAATTAAAGAAACCATAAATTCGCTAATAAAAAAGAAATACAACGAGAGTATATAGTAAAAGTAACAATCAATCATGAATATCTAATAAAGAAATACGAAGAGTACAAAATAAAAAGAGAAATAAAACCAAATATTAAAGAAAGACTACATAAATCAATATTAATACGTAGAAAATGTAAGAAATTCTTTTATATATACCTAAGTTGTGGCATAGATTTTTATAGAAGAAATTAGATTGCTCAAAATATATAATTCATTCCTTGGTTGAATTGTGTCGTTTTAATATCTTACTCATATAATTATAGAAGAGTTGAATTTGTGAGAGATAATGTAATTGGATACGTGCACATTTTACATAGCATAATAGAATTGAAAAATTACAGAATTATGTAGAAATTATAGAATCATGTACATAGACACGATGCATAGAATTCAGAAATAAAGAACAAAATAGAAAATGTTTAAGTTAAGCGTGTTACTAGAATAGAACTTTGGGTTTTCCAGAAAAAATATAGAAATAAAAGCCTTAGAATTAATAGAATACATGCCAGAGTCAGACATGTATTTTGGGATCATGTATAGACAACAAATAAATACATGACATAGTATAGCATGTATTTCAAAAAAATTAAAATTATTGGAAAATGTTTATTTTTCATATTTACAGAGCATGTTTTCAGATGGTTGATGTGATAGGGAACCAGTGATAAAACATAATAGAAATTTCATATCAATCAAACAGTAGTAAATTACAGAAGAAAATTAGATAAAAAGATGTAAAACCTAGAAAATCATCTAACAAAGTGAAATGCCACAATAATAAAGCATAAGGTAACTAAAACCAATAAGAGAAACCACAAGTTCACTAATTAAAAAGAAATGAGACGAAAATACTGAGAGAAAGGATTGAAGAGAAAGGAATCCTCTGTTTGTGCTCTGAATACTGAGGGATTTCCACCATCCCCTTAGAATAAATGGCTATTTCAAATACATCGCCAAGGATTTTTATAAAAACCAAGTTAAACCAAACGGTTATAATTATTTGAACTTATGTTTGTTATTCAAAACTCAGTGACTCTATTGATTTTTCAC